GACTGGTCCATGAAGTCACGAAGAGTTGGAAACGACTGAATGAATGAACAACAAACAAACAATGTCAGGCTGAATCTCACGGACTTTACTGGGACTGTGGCGCAGCTGGCTGGGAGTCGACTGCATTAAGATCACTACTGACCTAAAAGTCATGAGTTCAAAGCCAGCCCGGGTCGGAGTGAGCTTCCGACCAATGTTGTGTAGCTTGCTGTCGACCTTTGCAGCCCAAAAGACAGTTGCATCTGTCAAGTAGGAAATTTAGGTACCGCTTATGCTGGGAGGCTAATTTAATTAATTTAAGAGGCCATAAAAATCTCCAGCAAGCATGCAAAGAATGAGGAAGAACTTCATCAGTGTCACAAATGGTCAGTGAAAGGACAGCTCCCCTGGTGGCCAGAATACCCTCAAGAAAAAGCTGGAATGTTAAATAGCCTCTGAGTGTCTGTCTATATATGTTGTGTGCCTATGGCATTGAATGTTTGCCATGTATATGTACATTGTAATCCGCCCTGAGTCCCCTGCGGAATGAGAAGGGCGGAATATAAATACTGTAATTAAATTAAAATTATTATTTTTAGCTAGATATGCAATATTTGGCACATTTTGAAAGTAACTGTCACACACTACCACTATTTTCCCTTCTACTTGTTTGTATTTTTGGCCCTTTGAATATTCTTGCAATGTGTTAGGGAAGAGGTGGAAAAACCCGCAGCTTTCCCAATTGTTCTATTGCACCTCCCATTATTTCCTACTATTAGCTGTGATGGCCAGGGCTGGCTAGAGTTACAATCCAACATCTGAGGCACCTATATATTCCTGTCCCAGACAAACACTGTGACCGGTAAATGACCCAGAGATGGTTGGACAGGTGTCTCTGCTCCACAGTCTGAGACTTCAACTTCTAGTTTTGGAGAGAGGAGGAAGGCTTTGGTCTTGAAACAGACTAGATCTGTTTTCTGATTTGTCAGTTCTGCCAAGTCTGTCTGAAACCGGGCTTTCGGGGGTCAAGGGAGCAGACCTGCACAGCTGTGTAAATGCTTTGCTGTCAGCATGTTCTTTGGCAGTGGATCACCCCGGCTAAGCTTCTGTTTGTGATTCCTGCCTACAGCACGCCACCAAACTCCCCTGGGCTCAGGGTTTTTCCTTCTTATATCCATGTTGCTAAGATGCCTCTCCAGGGAAGACAAGCCCTTCTTTCTCTTGCGGTTTGCAGGCTCCAGCAAAGCTTACCTTGAAGCCATCTGCTTTGGTGATCTGCAGGGAACACAGGTGGCCTGGCCATTCAGTTAGCAGTGAGAAGTTCTGCAAACAGCCAGACTATGCAGTAAATCACTAGAGAGCAGACTCTGTGTTTGTGCATGAGTCTAAGAGCAGGGATATGGAGAGGCAGGTTTAAGCAACAGTGTGACATCTGCTGCCAAATAACCTTGAACGTGGTTTTGTACGTCTGCATTTAGGACAGCTAGACAATTTGA